GAATGCATCTTTGATATCGAGGAACATGACAACGGTGGGCCGCCAATATATGTGACGGTGCTCCAACAACTGACGCAAGGTGAAGATGTGGTCAATGCAGCTACGACCTCGACGAAATCCAGCTTGCTCTTCACGAATCTGGCTTTCACGAGTGCCAGTCAGTCTGTGAAGGATGACAGAGGCAAGCAATTTGGAGGCGATGGAGATCAGACAGATTCCTCTATGGCTGCCGCATTCCGATCGTGAGCCTCCTTTGAAGATTGGGACTATGATTGAGCGGCTCCAATCAGTTGGGACAGTTTCCTGCTCCCACAGTCTCACTAATAACTCGTGTAAATCATCCATAAGGGCAGGTCCCCCGAATTTGAAGAGGGCTGGAGGAAGGTCATCAGGTCCCGCGGCTTTATTTAACTTCAACAGTTTGATCTCATGTTCGATTTCTGAGCGAGAGAGTGGATCCAAAGGAACAGCCCACGGAGCAGGACGATCACTGGTCGGCGAGAAATCTAACAATTCCGACCGATTAAATTGCCTTTCAAAGTGCTCAGCCCAACGTTTCAGGCGTTTTGATAAGTTGTGGATAGACTGTCCACTCTCGTCACGTATAGTTTCACTAACACCAGGTCTCCTGCTGCCCGTTTCCCGTATGACCAAATAACTCACGATGGTTACCAAGGGCAGCGGTCATTTCCATCTCTGTTGCACGATGAGACCACCAGAATTCGCGGTCTCTTTTCAGGCTAGCACGGAGTTTTGCCCGGAGCTCTTTGCGAGTTGTTGAAGTGCCGCTCCTAGAGGAATTCATGGGTTTTGCTGGGATGCTTTTTATCATAGCATGCATGTTACTGGAGTCAGGGACTGCTTCTCGTCCAATCATGGCAGTAACGTGTTTCAGGTTCAAAAACGGTTGCACTCTGAAATGACTGATCTCAGATTCATGGTAGAGTCTTGCTCCATCTTACTGTGCAAGCGGGTACGAGTCTCTGAGTCACGAGGCGATTGAAGACCACAAAATTATACCCGGCACTTGAATTGGTCTTCCGTCATTTCCTTAAGCTTGAGACGCTCATAATGACGGATAACTGAGGTCGCATAAGACACGAAATCAGAACGGTCACTTTTGACAAATTACAAACAGGAATACCGCAAGTTAAAAATCGAGGACGCTTTCCGAAAGATTTCTCTCAATAGTTCGACGATTTCGTCGGATTTAAAATGCTTCAAAAGAAGGAAATGTTTCGGACGAAAGTTAAAAAAGAAAGTTAAAGAAGAAAGTTACAAATTGAGGACGCTTCGCCAAATACGACAGGCACCACAGTGCGTGAGCCAACAGAAGTAGTGCCATGCTTGGTTGTGGTCTCAGAAATGGAACACGAGCTTACACTACCATTGGTGACGTTCCTCCAAACGGAATCACGTTACTCGGTTGGTAATCAACTTGTTCTTATTCTTCTTTATGGCGAGTGTATTTTAAACACTGCAGACTGCGCGTATATAGAATACTTGTAACCTACGAATTCGGCCCGTCAACGGCTTTACCGTGCTGAAATTATTGATTATCTTTCTCGAAGCTGGGAGTGTGTGCAACGCCAGAAGATCGGTGCTGCGTTGCACTAGTACGGATGATTTTGCAGCTTGCACTGTTGTACGAAAAATATCTAAAGACACGATCTCAGCACACTTAGAATCGTCAAGCAGTGCGACACAACGCGATGTGCTTTTCAGAGGATTTTAAAGAAACAAAATTTTCGGGGGTTTGGGGCACTTCGGGTTTAGGTGTTCAGCGCTAACGATCCAGCTAAACGAATGCATTTCGCCGTTGGTTTTCGGATCACTGGCGTATTCGCTTCATGTCAGTTTTCCAGTTGCATGGAACAGACAAACAGAGTTTTTAGGGCTGGATCTCATCCAGGCCTATACACAGCGTCACGTGTTTAGCTTGGCGCGAGGCTCAAGTCTTGGGTTGGATTAATTGGTCAGAAAATATTACTCGTAAGTAGCAGGATTCATTTATAATTTTTAAGGTATTCATCACATTAGTTTACAAGCTACATAGCACAGCCTAGCACGGAAATGCACTAGGCGCATTTCGCCCAATTGGAGCTTGTCATTGGTACGCATTCCCTCGATCCCCTACTGGGGATCGAACCCCTGACCACTAGAAACAGATGCCAACTAGCCAGCAGCTTAAGTCACTGAGCCCTGAGGGTCGTTGGCTGGGCTACATAATTTGCAAGCTAACCGGGATATAGCACACCTATCTTCCACTTCACCGACAGTGGCTAGCTTGCAACGTGATGACGTCCTCCCGCTAAACGCTATATCCATAACATTTGAAACTAGGTGAGGCTATTCATTTTATCCTATTTTCCTAGACTAGGCTGTGTTATGTAGCTCTCGAACTACTGGGATTAATACCTTAAAAATTGGTCAGAAAATAGTGGGACAATTTTTCTTTTCCAGTAACATAACCAACAACTTGTTTTACATCACATAACCCTTACTTTTCATAGCGTTATCGTACAAGGAAATGCTCCAGACCCGTATGCTTCCACGCTTAGAGGCGGACGGAGTTCCCCATACCATTTGGTGGTAACATGATGGTGCACCCGCTGCTTATGCTCAATCGGTTGCGGAGGACCAGTTGAGTGGCCTACGCAGTCACCTGTGTTTTACCCCCCTGGATTTTTTATATGAGGCTATTAGAAACAGAGGGTGTACAAAAACAGGCTGAATTCCCTCGACCAACTGAAATAGAATATTGTGAATGAATGTCACGCCATTACCAGCGAGAGGTTGGAGACAGTGTTTGCCAACTGTGTGCATTGATTTCCGTACCGTAAGCACAATGATGGCGGACACTTTCAACATCTCATGTGATGATATATGTCAGTTTAACTCTGCTTCTGTTAATAAACGCATTCTCGATTATACATGAATTACAGACTAAATCGGTCCACGGGCGAACGGTGCTAATATTGGGTCGGGGCAAGCGTAGTTTTATGAGCATTGGCTGCTTCTGCAGCGCTCTGGAGCATTCCAAACGCTGTGATAAGTGGGGAATACTATGTTCAACTGTTCGAATGCCACAAACATACTTCTAGAGAGGTATTTTGTCCTGGGAAGTTTACAAGGTAGCAACAATTCGATGAAGAGCGTTTAGTGCGCTGGCTATCATGATAATGCGTATTAAACCGAGAAGACCGCAGTCGAAGTTGTGTCAGAGGCCTCCGTTGAGGTACCGTGCAACTTACCGATTCATGTCAGTACGCCTAGCCTATGCAACCTGGAGGGTCCTCAGTTTGTTTAGTTAAGGAAAACTTTTGTGGGGTGTCACTCTAATGCAATTCGCGACGATGACACGTTAGGGTCGTGTGCAGTACGGGAATACGGATGGAACAAACCTGCATTGAACGTTTTCTACCATGAATATAGAGCGTGTAATCAAGAGCAGATCAACGTAACAGCACAACTCACCGTAATAGAGGAAGTGATGAGGATGTACCATCAGTAACTCAAGCGGGTAGTTTTTAGGTATCATACATTTTTAAAGAAAGATAGATTCCGGATAGTTAGAATCACTCTTGCAACGAACTTGGCTCAGTCAAAAGGAAAGCCAAATATTAAAATTGAGAAAATCACCCCCTACCAAGCTGCTATTATTTTTAATTTGCGTGGCCTAGTTGAAGGTAGTGCACCATTTTTCCTAAAGCGGTTTGTTGGAAGCTAGTTGTCAGCCATAACTGCGTTTCATCATTTCCTTTGTTAAAAATAAGGACACATCGAACATTTATTGCTCAGGGCTACGTTGGTCCTTCTACATCAATGGGAACGGCGGCAGTTGCGGATCAGGTTTACGTTCGTCCGACAACGCGACATCCAATCTTTACTGGCGACAGTCTGCCAGTTTCCTACATACCCTTGCAGAGTATACTCATATTCGCTGCCACTTTTGGGTGCACGGCTGCTTCCCAGCTACCTAGCACGACCCAAGGATAGCTGTCGATCGCTCCACTGGCTAGTCAACAGCATTTTGTTATGAGTACCACATGCGGCATTGCCTACCAAGTATTCACTCGCTTAGTTTGGCCAATCTAAAAATTCCGATGTCAAAGCACAGATCAGAATCTGTCGATCGACCGTACTGCGGTTTGTCTGTCATTTCAACAAGCGGCACTCCGTCGAACTTGGAGTAGCAATTGCATGGCAGTCCCACATGTCATGCGAACAGAATAAAGATTTCAACGGTGCCCATTGCTCCCACGCAATTATGTGCATAGGTGCAGTCGTGTGCACGCTGGATTTGAAACTGAGTTCGTCGATTGGATCTCCGAATAACTGTTGGTATTGCTCGCTCTTTTCTCAGGGCTCGCAATGTGCCTATGCTTGTGCTACCATGGCTGTTTTGCGATCTTCAATCCAAACATATGGGACATTCTGTATATACTGCCATATGGTTTCGTCATGTCATCGGTTGTTAAGGGGTCTGAGCCTCGGCTTGATTCGTTCAGGTGGCAGATGTTTCTCTAACCGACTTTAGTTCCAACCCTCGGTTTTTCCTTCACTTCACTGTTTTTCTCTTGGCGTTCAGTCTGGTGAATTCTGCCACCTTCCTTCCTTGTTTTCATTCTTTACTTTTGATTATTTCACGCGGGCTGCATAGCGGGCACCGCCAATGCAGCACATCAGTATTAACTGGCTCCACAGCGCGCTATTCATGTGCGCCGAGGCATCTCATTAGGTTCTGCACTACCGACTTAAAAAGGACGCTCATGTTCAACTATGAAACTAACTTGGCATCGGTATATTCGGTCGCTGCTGTTCACCATTTCGTTGTGCCATTCTATTTGCTTCGGTGCCCTGTACGCATACACTCCACTTTTGATAAATGCTTTATGTTGATTCGAAGACCTTTATTGTGACCATCTTAGGAGTCTTTTCTTCACCTTTTAGCTTTTCACTTCTCGCTCTGATATCAGGCTCCATTGATCATTACACGGATGTCTATCTCGGCCGTACTACAGGCTTGGAACACGTCCTGCGATGTAGATGATTTTTCCTGTTTTTTGGACGCAGTTAAGGTTAGTTCGATGTTCCTATTCTGTAATTTTTACTGGATACGATCTCTTTAAAGTCTTCGATTAAACAGCTATGCGTTTTTTAGTTTTGAAATAACTGAGTTTTTGGACTGTTCGAATTTTTTCAATGGGTAACCATCAAGGCAGTTTTTTTGTTCGTCGTTTCCACTCCACTCGCAACCTTTTCCTTTTGTCCTTAGGCTGATGGTACTATCAGTCAGTCAGCTTGCAGAGGCATCTACTGACTTATACGATAGTAATTTAATTATTACGTACTCAGTATACTTAAACTTAAGGGTTATCAGCGTGTACCACTGTTTTATTGTTGTTTCGGCGGTGTTCATTTTCTCTGAAGACCCTCGTTACCACACCAGTTCATTTTTTTCTTTCGTCGCTCAACACTGTTTCACGTCTGCATGCACTTTAGACCGCAACTCCTGTAAATCCTTTTTACCTCCCCCTCGAAAGTAACTGAGTCTATAAATAACTTCTACTCCTAACACATATGCGCACTTATTGTATTTTATTGTGCTTTTTATTTCCATTTTCCATATCCCTTTTCATTCCCCTTTATTCTTGTACCTCCTTGTTATCACGAAGTCGAATCATGGTATATGGTTCACATTTGACCGACTGCCGAATTGTATTTTTGTTGGCTAAATGCCCATTTGCGTAGAGTATATATATATATATATATATATATATATATATATATATATATATGGGAGAGCCTATGTTGTGCTGAAGCTGGCGGTAGCCAGATCCTGACAGATGGTCTGCCCGCTTCTGCTGCTGTTCTGCCATTTGCTCATGTCCTGAGCGCCTCCTCGTGGCGACCGCTGGGTGGGAGTTCGGTTTCGCCCTTCTCCCTGCTAAGATCCAGGACACCAATCGGCATGAGTCAGTGAACTGGCCATGTGCTAAACCCGCTGCCTTTCGGGTGTTCATTTAATCGAAGGCTTTGGCTGAGGACCCGAGTCGTTCTTCTGTCAGGTGTGGGCGCCCTGGCAGTATCCTAGTCCATCCTCTTCGGAGGTTAGGAAATGGTCGATGGCCCTCTTCCCGTAAAACTAGCCATGGGAGAGAACAGGTTACGGGTGATATTCTCAATGCTCGATTGGCGTAGAGCACGAGTGCCACGCATTGTCTCTGACGGTGGGAGGACACCTCCGGGTGTTCAATGGTTTGCTACTGCCCGCCTCAAGCCAGGCAGCCCCTAGTCAAATTGGTGCAAACCCGCCAAAAACCCACCTGCGTCTGGCCGTGGTCGCAGGTCGCAAAACATATGATAACTGTTCCAGAACCTCAAAGGCTGCGTGTGACGGCCGTCAAGCAGATCCCCATCTGTCTCTGCAATCACATTCCCGAGCTGGATCTGCTCTCCACTGCCTTGTGGGTCAGGCTATTGAGCCAAAGGCTCCGGGTGGAGTCCCTCAAGCAAACCTCTAAACCACCCACTGCCTTGTGGGTCAGGCTATTGAGCCAAAGGATCCGGGTGGAGTCCCTCAAGCAAACCTCCGAAGCACAACGACCACCTCGCGTGCGATTGCCCACCATGCAATCTTATGCCTGCGCGCAAAGCACTCAGCATCGGGTGCTGGAACGTGCGCACACTACTGGACCGGAACTCCAGCGAGCGTCCGGAGCGACGCACTGCACTGGTCGCAATGGAGCTGGCGCGCTACCACCTCGATATTGCGGCGCTCAGTGAAACTCGGCTCGCTGAGCAAGGTAAGTTAAATGAAGCAAGTGCTGGCTACACATTCTACTGGGTGGGGAACGCCGCCTCAGCACCACGTGATCATGGGGTCGGATTTGGAATATCCCATCACCTTAATGGGCAGCTGGAGGGTGAACCAACTGGCATCAGCGCGCGATTGATGACCGTCTGCCTACGACTCGGAAGAGGTAAGTTTACCACTTTTATAAGCACGTACGGTCCGACCATATGTTATCCTGATGACACGCGTGATCAATTCTACACTCAGCTATCCTCCGTGATACGGTCTGTGCCGAGGAGCGACCGACTATTTCTACTGGAAGATTTCAACGCGCGCGTTGGGCGTGATGCATCGATGCGGACAGATGTCATCGGTCCGTATGGCATTGGTTCAGCGAATGCGAACGGTGACAGGCTGCTCTCACTGTGTGCCACTCACGGCCTGACGATCACGAACACTCGGTTTGCACTGCGTACGTGATATAGCAACTTGGACACACCCACTTAGTGGTCACGCTCACCTACTCGACTATGTCATCGTACGTCAGCGTGATATGCGTGAAGTGCGCATGACACATGTACTGCGTGGGCCTGAGTGTGGCACTGATCACAAGTTGTTGCGCACCAAACTGTACATATATTTTCGTAAATCGATGTATTGCACTCCCGCCGTGAATCGGCGTAAATTTAACATTCTCTCCCTCGGTACTGTGGCGAAACGTACTGAGCTGGAGAAGGCGATGGCTGCACGCCTGTGTGATGTGGACTGCATAGCCACAGTGGGCGACTTGTGGCACCACATTCGCGACCACGTGACAGCTGCTGTCGAGGAGACCATCGGGCGCGCAAACTGTAAGTGGCCTGATTGGTTTGATGACAACAATGCGACGATCGGCGCATTGGTGTCGGAGAAGAATGCAGCATTTGCTGCACATGTGGCAGACCCCAGTGACTTGGGGAAGAAGAGTCAGTTTCGCAAACTTCGACGGCGACTGACCCGAGAGCTCCGTCGCATAAAAATGCATGGTGGACGGAGAAGGCGAAGCAGATGGAATGCTACGCCAAACGCCGCCAACACAACGAATTATTTGACTCTTTGAAGAACCGAGATTTTTTCCGCTGAGGACACTGATCGATGATAGTTCAGGCGCTACCTGCACACAGACTGCAGACATAACGCAGATCTGGCGGAAACACTTCGACTGCCTATCGAACCTTTGAACGACTTTGAGCAGCACGATGTGAAGACGACTATGGCGGACACGCCGACACTGGATGAAACGCAAAGAGCACTTGTCCAGCGGCGAAACGACAAGTGTGCTGGGGCCGACGGGATCCCGCCTGTAGTGGATCCGCGTTGTTGACTGCGCTGCACCACTTGGTGCAACGCATATGGATTGAGGAGGAGGTGTCTGCTCAGCTGACGGATGCCCTTGTGCTACCACTGTACAAGGGCAAAGCTAGCAAGCAATGTTGCACGAATTATCGTGGCATCAACTTGCTGAGTTGTGAGGGCAAGGTGATTGCCCGAATCCTGCTCAACCGCCTCGTCAGTCAGGTTGTGGAACCTAACGTGGCGGAAGAGCGATGTGGATTCCGCTCGGGTGGCAGCACTATAGTTATGGTGTTTGCGGCTCGTCATTTGCAGGAGAAGTGCAGAGAATGACACGAGCCTTTGTACTCGCTTTTTGTTGATTTCACCAAGGCATTTGATACGGTGAACCGCGATGCATTGTAGCTGGTGTTGGGTAAGTTTGGTTGCCCGCGTAAGTTTGTAAGTTCAATTGAATGTCTGCACAGTGTCATGCGAGCGAGGGTGCAGCTGAGTGGAGAGACCTCGGATGACTTTGCATTTGTCTCTGGTGTGAAGCAACGCCGTGTCTTAGCTCATGCCCTGTTTAATAATATGTCTTCATGCAATGATGTCTTGTGCTTTTGATGCCACTTGTGCTTACGGTGTTCGTGTGGAGCGCTGTATTGATGGTAGGTTGCTGTACATCCGTCGTTTCGGTGAGGGAACTCTAGTCTGTGAGACAACTATCCGTGTGTTGCTGTTTGCTGACTACTGTGCTTGGTTTGCAGCACATGACTAGTGCTCTGGCTTCGACAGCGGCCAAATTCGGGCTCACCATCAACACAAGCAAAACGGTCTGTCTCTTTCAGCCTTCACCGAAGGTGCAATCTTCAATATTGCCGCAAATCAGCATTGGTGCTGAAGTACTGGAAACCACCCGCTTCTGCTACCTTAGGAGTTTGATGTCGACAGATCAGCAGCTACACAGTGAGCTGCGTATCCTCGTGTCGAAGGCAACGGCGGCATTCTGGAAGCCAGAGGTCCGAATGTGGAACAACCATCAGCTTACCATTGGCACGAAGCTGATGGTGTGCAAATCTATAGCGCTATCCGTTCTCCTATACGGCCCTGAAACGTGGACGATGTACCGTCGGGATGTGCGATATCTCGAGCGGTCCCATCAGTAGTGTTTGCGACGAATTTTGCGCATCAGTTGGGGCGACAGAGTTGCTAACACGGAAGTGTTGCGACAAAGTGGTAGGTATGCAGTGGACTGCATACTTTTGCTGAGACACCTGAGGTGGATCGGTAATGTGAGACGTTTAGATTCGACTCGGGTACTGGAACAACGATTATATGATCAACTGAGTATTGGGAAGTAGCATGTGGGGAAGCCAAAGTGAGCCTCTCACGTTCTAAGCTTAATTGCAGGTCATGGGGCTCGAAGGGGTTTGATCGGCGTGCATGGCGCGATCTAATCACTAAGGCAGTTGCCGAAGTGCGGGAGAAAGACCTCATACATGCAGAGAAGAAGCGGCAAGCACCGATGGATTGTAGTCCATCGAAATGGAGCGCATGGTGCTGTAACACATGCGGTCGCGAGTGCCTGAGTCAGGCAGATCTAATGAGCCATGAGCGAGGCCACTCGGGACTAATACCGAAGCGACGACGGGTCTTGCAGAGAACGTAGGCAGAACCGGCGCAGCGTTTGTAGGTACGCTGCATTCGATTTACTAACCGCGTGCTTGCATGCTAAGTCTTTATTTCAGGTGGTGGGTTTTCAGTTTTGTCCTAATGCCTTACATTTTCACATAAATACCTACCTATACTCTCTCCTATAAACTCGCACACGTCGCTTAAGCCAATTTGTGGCGTTTCCGTAAAATATACTTTCTGATCTTGTGAATTTCTCTCCGATTCTTTTGTAAGCAACTTATTTCATATGCTCATTAATTTAAGCTTTATGTCACCGTTTCCTTATGCATTACT